CAGTGCCCTGGCTGCGCCTAGAAATTCTGTCCATAAAAATTATGAACAGAACCGGTGACAAAGGGCAGCCCTGCCGGAGTCCAACATGCACCGGGAACAAGTCTGACTTACTGCTGGCAATGCGAACCAAGCTCCTGCTCGAACAGGGACCGGATAGCCCTTAGCAAAAGGCCCCGGACCCCATAATCCCAGAGCACCCTCCACAGGACGCCACGAGGGACACAGTCGAAAGACTTCTCCAAATCCACAAAGCACATGTGCATTGGTTGGGCAAACTCCCATGCACCCTCCAGCACCCTGGAGTGGGTATAGAGCTGGTCCAGTGTTCCACGACCGGGACGAAAAACCTTACTCTTCCCCTTGTAGTTGGAACACACCCCCCAGCCAGCACAGCCATGTGGGGCCCACATGGGTTTGACGTGGGCTATCTAACTGGGACCCAGACAGTTTTGCTCCCGGTTTCCATGTAGGCCCCACATGGGTTTGCCCAGATAAAATGAACACTGCTCAGTGTGCACACTACAGGCTGTTAAATGTAACACTGATCAGTGTTGGAGTTAATGAGATAATTAAGTGATTGAATATGATTGAGCATTATTGAACACACCTAAAGCAGAATCACTGAAGGAGAAAATTGTAAGCCACCGTTATGGCGATCATTGTTTGCTTTAGTTGGGCTCTTGACCCTTATATTATTAACTTTAGATTTTGTTTGGCTGTTGTTTCTGACTTATAACTGCCAGATGAACAAAAAAAAGTGATGTAATGGTGTTGGTTATATTATGACAGTCATGGTTTGAACATAATCATGCTGTGATTTGAAAAATGAAACTTATTGAGATTATCTGGTTTAACTTGTTAGCAACAGCTTTGTGATTCTACAGCAAATGATTATCAGTATTTTTTTATCCAAAATATTTCATAAACATTGTTCTGATCAAAACACTTTCAAATAAAATTATTTAGAAACACATCAATAATCAGTCAGTGAATCTCAACAATGGTGACAATAATAATGCATGTTGCAGTGGCTGCCACCAATCACAACTCATTAATGGCTCCCATCATGCATTGCGGTATGAATAAATTATGATCTGAATTGTCTATGGCAGTGGTTCCCAAACCTGTCCTGGCGACCCACCAACACTGCACGTTTTCTTTGTCTTCCTAATCAAACACACCTGATTCAACTAGGGCTGGGCGATATATCGCATGACATTGCTGTGCGCATCTCGTCAGTAAAGCCGGTTCCTTGATTAGTAGTAAATCACCTTCACCTGCTTTCAGATGGAGCGGCATTTACTACAAAGAGCCGTAGTTAACTGACAAGATGAGCCATATCGCATTAATATCGCGGACGTATCGCCAGCGATAATTGATGCGATATGGCTCAGCTTGTCAGTTAACTACGGCTCTTTGTACACAGCAAAAACTCCAGTGTTAAATTAACACTCCTGGGAGTGTATATGAGTCCACACTCAAGAGTGTTGAAGTTAATGAGATAATTAAGTGATTAATTGAGTGATGATTGAGCATTATTGAAGACACCTAAAGCAGAATCACTGAAGGAGAAAATCTAAAATTGTAAGCCACCGTTATGGCGATCATTGTTTGCTTTAGTTGGGCTCTTGACCCTTATATTATTAACTTTAGATTTAGTTTGTGTGTTGTATCTGAGTTATAACTGCCAGATGAACAAAGAACAAAAGTGATGTAATGGTGATGGCTGTATTATGACAATCATCATTTGAACTTTATGTTCGTGATTTATGCTGTTGGTTACAGTGTAACTGTGATTCTGCATAAATATCCAGAATTTTAGATATAAAATAAAGGATTTCTTAAAAGTTGTTTAAAAAAAAAGTCTGTCTTTTAGGCACACACAGACGACAAGATTCAGTCAATGCATCTCAACAATGGTGACAAGCAGAATAAATTACATAGACAATTCAGATTATAATTTATTCGTACAGCAATGCATGATGGGAGCCATTAATGAGTTGTGATTGGTGCCACCCACTGTAACATGCATTATTATTGTCACCATTGTTGAGATTCACAGGGTGATTATTGATGTCTGCGTTTCTAAAGAAATTGAAAGTGTTTTGATCAGAACAATGTTAATTAAATATTTTGGATTATAAGAAAAATATTGATAATCATATTCTGTAGAATCACAAAGCTGTTGCTAACAAGTTAAACCAAATCATCTCATTAAGTTTAATTTTTCAGATCAAAGCATGATTATGCCAAAACATAACCAACACTATCAGATCACACTTTTCCTTGTTCATTTGGCTGTTATACATCAATAACAGCAGACAAACAAAATTTAAAGTGAAAGTATAAGGGTCAAGAGTCCAACTAAAGCAAACACTGATCGCCATAACGGTGGCTTACAATTTGTGATTTTCTCCTTCAGTGATTCTGCTTGATAACATCAGGTGTCTTCAATAATGCTCAATTATCACTCAATAAATCACTTAATTATCTCATTAACTTTAACACTCTTGAGTGTTAATTTAACACTCATATCTGCATCATATCTTCCATCTGAAAGCAGGTAAAGGTGATTTACTACTAATCAAGGAACCGGCTTTACTGAAGAGATGCGCATAACAATGTCATGCGATATAGCCCAGCTCTAGATTCAACTCATTAGCTCATTAACCCATGTGATAATGAGCTGATGAGTTGAATCAGGTGTGTTTGATTAGGGAGAGAAAGAAAACGTGCAATGTTGGTGGGTCGCCAGGACAGGTTTGGGAACCACTGGTCTATGTAATTTACTTTATCTAGTTGAATATTCTGCTCGTCACCATTGTTGAGATGCATTGACTGAATCTTGAATGTCTGTGTGTGCCTAAAAGAAAGTTTTTTTTCAAATAACTTTTAAGAAATCCTTTATATTATATCTAAAATTCTGGATATTTATGCAGAATCACAGTTACGCTGTAACCAACAGCATAAATCACTAAACATAAGGTTCAAACGATGACTGTCATAATATAACCAACACCATTACATCACTTTTTTTTTTTTTGTTCATCTGGCAGTTATAAGTCAGAAACAACAGCCAAACAAAATCTAAAGTTAATAATATAAGGGTCAAGAGCCCAACTAAAGCAAACAATGATCGCCATAACGGTGGCTTACAATTTTCTCCTTCAGTGATTCTGCTTTAGGTGTCTTCAATAATGCTCAATCATATTCAATCACTTAATTATCTCATTAACTCCAACACTGATCAGTGTTACATTTAACAGCCTGTAGTGTGCACACTGAGCAGTGTTCATTTCATCTGGGCAAACCCATGTGGGGCCTACATGGAAACCGGGAGCAAAACTGTCTGGGTCCCAGTTAGATAGCCCTCGTCAAACCCATGTGGGCCCCACATGGCTGTGCTGGCTGGGCCTCCGGTCCCCCTTCTTAAAAAGAGGGACCACCACCCCGGTCTGCCAGTCCAGAGGTACTGTCCCCAAACGCCACGCGATGTTGCAGAGGCGTGTCAGCCAAGACAGCCCCACAACATCCAGAGACTTCAGGTACTCAGGGCGGATCTCATCCACCCCCGGTCCCTTGCCACCGAGGAGCTTTTTCTTAACTACCTCTGTGACTTCAGCTTGGGTGATGGATGAGTCCACCTCATGAGATGAGCCTCTGGTTCCTCATTGGAAGACGTGTCGGTGGGACTGAGGAGATCCTCTAAGTATTCCTTCCACCGTCCGACGATATCCCCAGTTGAGGTCAACAGCTGCCCACGTCCAACGACGGTTTACCGGCCACTTTCATGTCTTTTGGGAGAAGTGGATGAATTTGCGTGTTGTAAATCTACAACTCTGATTCTCTGCACTGAAGAGCAAACTATTACATGGCGGCGCCGATCACCTGTTATCATCTAACATGTTCATTATAAAAGTGTTAAAAAAGGCAAAATACAATCACTGACACATATTTGAGAATCAGAATATCAGATAGCCTATTTCACAATAAGAAGATAATTGTTCAAGCTAAAACCAAGAGGTTTATTTTCTAATAGCTAAATGGACAAATGTAATTTTGAATAAGACAATGGACAAAATTAAGACTCTTGGTGAATCCAAAACCAAGGTTTATATCTTTAAGCTGAAGGGAGCAAGTACCAACATGTAGACAATTTTGTTACGCAGTTTAAAGTAAAATAAATATATATTTTAATATATATTGTAAAATAATATATATATATATAGTTCAGTGAGTGTCACGGGGTGTTCGTCCCACTAGTGTTTGGTGGGAAACTTCAGGTTTGAGAGGAATGTTGCATCCTGTGTATACTGTGCAAACAATTGAACATGTTTGAGGTGAGACATGCTGATAATTTTGTGGATGTGCCACTAGGCGTTGTTTAGTGCCAGTGTTTGCTGCTCACAGCAATTTTTCTTTTGTTTTTAGCACAGTATATGTTGCATTAAGTTTTAATTTTTTTTTGTTTCTTTGTTGTTGTTTTTTTGTACTTCATGTGGACTGCACCTTGTGAGCTGCCGCTTCTAAAATAAACCACAACTGGCATTTTGAAAACCACTCCATTGTACTGAGCCTTCCTAAACTTCTCCCAGGCCTCTCGACAACACACTACATGACAATAAGATAAGATAAAATATAAATATAGAAATAAATAAAAAAGAAATATAAGAGAGATAGAACAAGAGGGAGAAAATGGTCCTTACAAAGTAACAAAGGCCTCATCAAACAAATACGTCTTAACATGGGTTTTAAACATGTTTACAGAGGTAGAGGATCTGATAGACATTGGTAAACCATTCGACAACTTTGGGGCAGCAACTGAGAAAGCGTATTCCCCTTTGCCTTTTAAGCGTGACCAAGTAGTTTCAAGGTAATTTCCCTGGTAATTAATACAATTTATAGAATTTACATAAATTATGAATTTATTTGATGTAAAGTCGATGTAATTTGTGATGCAACATGTTCCACACAATTCATCAGCACGATGCATTACAAAAATAGCAATCAAAACGTATAGTTTATTTAAGATGAATCCTTTGAATTACATTCCTGTGTACAGAAATGAATAACAAAGATCAACAAAAGTTACTGTGTTGGGCTGCAGCAAAATGGGGAATGCCTCAGAATCTTTGATTTTGTGAATCAGGGTTCACTTCAAATAAATAGAACATTTCACAGAGTAACGCCAGTGTTCTGAGAGAGAAAGAAACACTCAAGTGTGTGCTGAAGCCATGCACTTTGACTCATTTTCCATGTTTGTACTTTCTCATGTACGATGCAATGGATGAGGAGATCTCAGAGGATTTCTTGTTCTGTCCAAAATATTCAAGAAACTGGCCATCAGGTCCCACCAGGTACATTATGATGGTGTGATCTACCTGCAATTACAGGGAAGTACAATATTTGCATGCTGACTTCAGGCTTGTGAGATTATTAGGAATTAAAGTCATTAACATAAGGCAAGAGAAAACCAATTTTCTTGTGTCAAGTTTATTACACAAGCCAAACAACATTATTAAGGGGAACCAAAAACTCACAATGTAGTCGTTGTCTTCATCTTTTGGGCCCTGGCTGTAATACACTCTGTAGGCTCTGGACGCTTGCTCAACCTGGGCAGTTTTGCCTGTCAGACCGATCAGCTTTGGGGAAAACTCTGCATGTGAGATATCAAAAAAATATATACATGATGAGGAAATCATTCCACAGCACATGGTGAGTGCAGAGTAATAAAGATCCCAGCTCACCTTTGACATACGCTGCCATTGCTTCGGGTGTGTCTCTATCAGGATCAATGGTGATGAGAATCGGTGTTAAGTCTGGAAGGGTTTTAATTTTATCTGTGACAGAAATGTAAGACACACAATTAGTTCCTTGAAATGGGTCTTGTACTATTTTTCTTTAAAGGGGTGGTATAATGCCCTTTTCACAAGATGTAAAATAAGTCTCTGTTGTCCCCAGAGTGTGTATGTGAAGTTTTAGCCCAAAATACCCCACAGATATCTATATATAGCATGTTAAAATTGCCACTTTTTGAGGGTGAGCAAAAACGCACCGGTTTTGTGTCAGTCCCTTTAAATGCAAATGAGCTGCTGCTCCCGGCACAGGGGGCGGAGCTACAACAGCTTGTGTCTTGAAAATTTCTACAACTTTTAGCCTTTTAGGTTCAAACTGGAGTCAGACAAAGATGAAGAGACTCAAGAAGAAGTGACAACATGTAGACAACATTTCTGAATGGTTAGTCGATGAATTTATGTAGCTTATGTGTAGTTATCTTCTAGTCATTGATTAGCATATTCTGTCACATAATCTATAAATCACGTTCTCGGGGGCGGGGTTAATGTAAATTTTAGTCAATTTTGCAGGAGGAATGTAGTGTAGTCCCTACCAGCCGTTTGTTGTAGTCATTAAAAAGCAATTTCTGTAAAAGAAAATATCTTACTTTGCTTTGAACTTTGAGCATCGTAACTTTGCAAATGTTGTTTATGATCAGCAACAGCAACATTACACACTAACTAAAGTTAAAAAAGTGAAATCATAATCAACCACCCCTTTAAAATAAATGCCACTTTGTGTGCCAATCCATCTGATGTAATAATTATAATAATAAAAGCAATAATAATAATAATTATACATGATTAATTATATTATTATTCATTATTAATATATATATTATTAATATTATATATATATTTTTTATTTTATTGATATAGCACATTCCCAAACATTTTATAAAAATACTTAAAGGGCTTAAAGGGACAACATATCAGTATTTTCATGTATTAATCGTTTTTTTTGCTAATCAATCACACCAACTTCCTAGGTTATCTATGAAAGCCTGTAGACTGATTTTTAAGTGAAGGAATCGGGTCATTTTTACCAGGAAAATACAAAGGATGAGACGTTTACACACTCCCGAGAGCCTCTCTTCCGTTCAATGGCACATGAAAAGACATACAATATTCTGGATAATGCCGAAAGAGACGTTCTGTACCGTAATGTCAATGTGTCATGCAAAGAAAAGGGATTAATTTAAACTATAGTCTCACATAGTCAGATCTATATAGTCTAGTGTCTCAAATATACTTTATAATCAAACTGTCATAACAGTGTGATTTTAATGACCTCATCTGTCGACATGATGCCGGTGAATCGCAGAGCTCATGCAAACACATCCACATTGCTATGATCCGATGCTTTCTTATCTGCTGTTTTCTCACCGCTGTCATTTTTGTCGTGTGTTTATTTTGTTATTGAGAAGAAAACACGCAGCACAAATTTAAATATTCATATAAACGTTGCTCTAAACCGAGTGGATATAACAATAAGTTGTTGCAGTTCACTTAACGGCCACCGGTGTCGCTAATAATAAGGGTTTCTGAACTCTACATAGAGCCTGTTTAAGTGTCCAAATTCTTAGGGGGCACTGTATAAAATACAATCCAGCTTTAAAGACATTTTAATATCATATTATGCAAATATCAAACCTGAGAGCTTTATAGCGTCAATAAAAATCAAAACTGTGTAGTTACGTAGTAAAAAAAAGATTAAATGATACATTACCAATCTCATCAACGACCTCAATCATTTTCTCCAGTTCATCAGGACAGATGTCAGGACAGTGTGTGAAACCGAAATATATCAGCAGCCACTGGCCGAGGAAATCTTCACTCTTCGTGGGTTTATTGTTGTGGTCGACAAGTGAGAATGGACCTCCGAGAGCTGGTTTTCCCATCGACTTTGTTCTTTCTTTCTCAATCACTATAACAACAAAAAACAGATTAATGATAAAGCTATCATTATGTTGTGGAGCATTTGCATAGTATACAGGATGCAAAAACAATGTGGTGTAGGTTAATCATTTATACATGCATAGATCCGAGTCCTTACTTTCCTCTTTTTCTCTCTTGAAGTATTTCATCCCTAGAAGAAGACCTCCTCCCAGCGCAAATGTGATAGCAAGAGATTTCCATGTAACTGGCTGTGGAAAAGAGACATCAGTACCATTCTTGTGTCTGATCAAAACACACCCAATCATTGGTAATCCACAAACAATGTCAAACACTTTTGGGAAGTGTCCTATTAAAAAAGTAAAACATTTGGATTGCTGGGAAGGATCAGCACCTGCTGTGTAACTGAGATTATTGTGTCCCGAAGCATAGTTCCTAACCAGTTTCTTTTTTTTTTTATACCGTATACTGTAAAAGATTTCTGGAAACCCTGTATATTTGCATTCAAAAATTTGAAATTAATACTTCTATCCAGAAAGGATTCATTAAATTGATCAAACCTGACAGTAAAGACATTTCAAAAAAATTATGTAAAAGTAAATGTTGTTCTTTTAAACTTTCTATTCATCAAAGAATCCTAATAAAAAAATGTATCATTGTTTTCACAAAAATGTGAAGCAGCACAATTGTTTTCAACATTGATAATCAGAAAGGTTTCTTGAGCAGCAAATCATTATAATAGCATGATTTATGAAGGATCATGTGACACTGAAGAATGTAATGATGCTGAAAATTTAGATTTGATCACAGGAATAAATTACATTTTAAAATATATTATTACAATAGAAAATAGTTCTTTTTTAAATTATTTAAATTTTTATTCCTGTTTTTACTGTATTTTTGATCAAATAAATGCATTTGTTTGCTTATTCTAATTTACAAATGCATTCCAAATGTGTTATTTATATGGACCCTTTTATCCAAACCCAGGGTATTGGGAAAACAACAATCTTTCAGTTAGCAGTCCTGGGGCCTCATGTATAAAACTTTACGTAGATTTCATCCTAAAAAAGTGTCTGCACAAAAGACAGATTTTGCGAACTCACAAAAGTTTTCATATTTATAAACCGCACAAAACCTGTGCAAAATTCCTTTTAGAAATCCTAATCAGCGGAAGATTGTGCGTACATTCCTCCCCACCAGAGATACGCACTATAAATGCCATTACTAAAAATCATTTAGTATCCTTTGCCTTATTTTAGAATAAATATGCTCAGTCGCATCATTATGGAAGCTTGTTTCCGCCACAGAATAAGACAATTTAAAAAAAAATCTTTATATCTCTATAATCTTTATATATATAAAAAGTTTATATCTCGCAATTCTGCACTTGTTGTGCACTTGTTTACCTTACTTAAAAGAGTGCGGACATGTTTACGCTAATTTTTTCCCGATATGTGCGCCGTGGACATTTGCGTACGCACATTTTCATACCTTTTTCTGTGCATTCGCAAGGTTTATACATCAGGCCCCTGATCTTTACATCTTGCTGTGAATGAGGCTTACACCAGTCTTCTTGTTGTTGGATTTGTCTCTGCTAGATGAGGGAGGTGGAGGTAGAGTGGACAGCGTCCGCGTGTTGAGAAGGGACACACACGGTGCTGTCCTACATGTCCTAAACTGAAGAAGAAAGTCACATACAAATACAATAAAGGAACATGCTGGAGTTACACTACACTATGTATAACCATCATTTATAAAACTAACACATTTCAGACCAGTGGTTCTCAACCCGGCAAACTTTGAAGGGGCCCGCAGGATGATTTAAAGAGTTTGCTCACCAAAAAATTAAAATTCTGTCATTAATTACTCACCCTCATGTCTTTCCAAACCCGTAAGACATTATTCGGAACTCAAATGAAGATGTTTTTGATGAAATCTGAGAGATTTCTGTCCCTCCATTGACAGTCTATGCAACTACCACTTTCAAGCCCCAGAAAGGTAGTAAAGACATCATTAAAGTAATCCATGGTACGCCAGTGGTTTAACCTCAATTTAATGGAGTGACTTGAGTGCTTTGTTTGTGCAAAAACATAAATTTCCTTTTTTTTATCACTAAATATTCTTCTCTGACGCGCGTTCACACAACATCTGATCTGCTCTCGCATCAACACAACATGCATGCGTCGTGTATTTTGTAAGCGTTTAAATTATGGGTTTCTTTTGCGCAAACATAGCACTTGCATTGCTTTATAAAATTGAGGTTAAACCAGTGTCGTCGTCATATGGATTACTTTAATTATGTCTTAATGACATTACTTTCTGGGTGGTAGGGTGGTAGTTGCATAGACTGTCAATGGAGGGACAGAAATCTCTCCAATTTCTTTAAAAATATCTTCATTTGTGTTCTGAAGATGAACGAAAGTCTTACGGGTTTGAAACGACATGAGGGTGAGTAATTAATGACAGAATTTCAATTTTTGGGTGAACTAGAATATCCCTTTAATATGGTTTAATTTAATTCATATTAAAATAATCTAAACAAAACATAAAATTAAGGTCTAAACTGAAAATGTATTTTTTTATTTAAAAATGTAGGCTAATCCCTATTTCATTGCGAAGTTTAGGCTACTTATTATCATTATAAACAATTAGTATTTAACATACAGTTTTTGAAACTTCCGTGATCAGAAAAATAACTGGTTAATTAATTGAATATAATGACACTCCCAGTTTCTGTCAATAAAAAAGGTTGAAAACAAGCATCTGTCTCATAATTACAGCAGAACATACAAATACTATAACTTATGTTGAACAATACAGATCCTTCAAGTCAAAAAGCTTGAGAACCACCAACTTCAATAAATATATACCAATGATCAGTTCCAATTAAAGATACAATTAACACATAAATACATAAAGGATGACAGACAACACTTTAATCACTCTAATTACCTGGCATGTGAAATATCAGGAGTATATTTTATCCTTTGTGAATGACTGAACGAATAAAATTAACCATTACAAAAAAACATGGTTATTTAAACCATGGTAACTACAAATTAACCACGGGACATACCATGGTATTTGTAGTAAAACTGTGGTTATACAAATGGTAATAAATCAGTCATAAAAACATGGTTACTACACATTTTAAGCCAGTGACCTACCAGTGTGTTGGTCTGGTACTGTGTTGATCTGGAGACACTGTAGAGACTTTGAACATTATAACGTTTACTGACACAGGCTGCTCTAAACATCTGACATCTTAAACTCTTTAAACTTGAAGCTGCTGTTAAACCCATAGTGCTGATATTTATTAACATCATGCTTCCTCAACGCGGAAGTGACTGTCGGTTTACACAACCTAACGGCGCACATACGTCCCATACAAATGACTGACCCTGAATCAGCTGTTAATATGAAAAACAACGAAATGAACTGAGAATGACAGCGATCCAACTGATCGGAGGTCTGTTTGAGGATATGACATTGAAAAGCGGAGGTGACGTAAGAGGACTTCTTCGCTTGAATATTGGTGACATCCATGGTGACAGCTAACTAACGTTAGCGCTTTAATTTTAAAACACGATACAAAGCCAAAAAGGGAAAAAATACTTTAAAGATTACTGGTCAATTTTAACATCACATTCTCCACAACATACCAAACAATAAATTAGGGGATGAAATACATTAAAATAAGTAAGATAAACAAAAGTAAAGTAAGTTAGAAGTAGGTTTTTACGTTACAAAACCATATAATATCCTTCAATAAAGAATACAAATACTTTTCTTTAGGACTTTTTGAAAACAAATCGACTGAAACCGAAAAAATAAAGGCTATTGGTTATAATTAAGTTACTTTAAACACATGCGCTTGTGAACATTTGAAAGATTATTTTACTATCACTTATGCTCTCTCCTTTACTACATAATTATGGTGATATTATTATTTCTGTTGTTATTATTACTATTAAAATCATTATTATGTATTTATTTATTTTGTTTGGTATTCATGTGTTTGCCACTAGAGGCCACTGTAGCATGCGTTTTAATCTTGACGTCATATTCGTGCGACATTGGAATGAACACATGCACCATGCGTGTAAAAATAAGAGGTGCATGAATTAAATACATATGCTTTTTTAAAAGAACCATATTATTCCCGAGAAGTCGCAAACATCGTTTGTTGTCATGGCTGGACACACGCTACTGTTTAAATCAAAGTAAGTGTAGTTTGTCGTATGTCCTGACTGTTCTCAATGGAAAAGACTTATTCGAAATGTGCAGTGACAAATTGAGATTACTGTTAACTACCTTATTTGACAACTAGTTTATGACCATCTCATTTGTTTGTTTAGTTATGCAGTCTCCAGTAAAATAGAGCCGTTCTATAAAGGAGGCAAAGTACAGGTATGTCCATATTTTTAGTAGTTATTTTGGCAACACTTTATTTTACAGTGTCTTTGTTACATACGTTACATGCGGTTACTATAGTAACTAATAACTATAAATTATGCATACATGCACCTTTCGGCAAACCAAACCCTATACTAAATATAGGTTGTTACTTAATATAATTCAGTACTTAGGCCTAAATGTATAATTACAGTGCAACAAAGACACCTTAAAATAAACTGTTAACTTTTTTTTTTAAATAATCATATTATTAATCATATAATCATACACGTTTGACTTGTTTTGTATCTCCATCCAGATAAGCCGTGATGAACAGCACATCTTCTGCACATGTGGATCAAGAGTCAACATTTTGCAGATCAATACAGGGAAAATCATACATAGTATTGAGCAGGTCAGTATTTTACAGCCAGCCCATCTCATGTTATGTTCATCTCAACTGCACTATTTTGTGGTGGAAATTACATTTTAAGCTTCTTTTTTTAATAAAATGTCTGACTGTATTGCCTCTTTCTAAGGTTAAATAATTTTCTCCACACATATTGAAAGGATTTATGCTTGTTTTTTGCCTAACACGTGTCTTTAAATATCTTCATCAGTAGCACTTACATACGCCAGACTTTACAATTTTATTTCTGCACTGTAAAGATTATTGTTGGTTTAACTTAAAAAAGTAAGTAATCTGGTTGCCATAAATTTTTCAGTTAGTTGAAACAACAACAAAAAGTTAATACAACGAAAGAAAGAGATTGATTTAATCAACAGAAACTCAAAATATTATGCTATTTGAACATTACATTAGTGAATAAATTGATTTGACGAAAGAAAAAAGTTGTTAAATCATGATGAAAATATATATATTTTTAATAGTATATCTCTATATTCTGAATGTTTTGACCGATTCTTATATCATTGGTCTGATTTCTATAACATTTTATTACTAATAATATTGTAAAACATTGACAACAAAATGAAAAAAAGAATTTTGAACCTGCTTTCTAAAATTTTTAGATTAAAGTTCTGGAAAATTATTCTAAAAATGACTGCATAATACGGCTTTTTGCTTTCTCGGAGCAGGATGATCAAGAGGACATCACCTCATTCTCTCTCAGTCCTGATGATGAGGTGAGCTCATTCAGTGATCTGCCATTGGACTGTCTGGTGTTTCAGGATGCCTGAGACTGAGCTGGTGGCTGTTGTTTCTCTGCAGATGCTGGTGACCGCCAGCAGGGCTTTGCTCTTGAAGCAGTGGGACTGGAAGCAGGACAAGTGCACTCGCTCGTGGAGGGCCATCCACAATGTGCCTGTGGCCAGCATGACCTTTGACTGCACCTCCACCCTGCTGGCGACAGGTCAGACATAAGCCAGATGTTTGATGCAAACGAGTAGCACTATGCGCCAGTTTTAATGTCAGCTGCAGTTGTGCTCAAAAGTTTACACACCCCTTGCAGAATCTGTGAACAAAATAAGAGGGAACATACAAAATGCATGTTATTTTGTGTTTAGTACTGCCCTAAAAAATATATTTTACATAAATGATGATCACAAATAGTCCACGAGACAAAAAATAGCTGAATTTATCCCAAAAAAAAACATGCGCTTTATTCTTAATACAGTGTCCCAGAGCCGTACGTCACCGACAAGCTGCGCATAAAAAATAATCTGTATATCTTCATATAAAGATATTTTCAATTGTAATCTTGTTTTTTTAACTACTTAGCAATACTCTTGAGAAAAATATAACTTTAGCGTGCTTTTAAAAAGATAACAATACTATATTATTATATAGTATTACTATAATAATGTATTGTAAAAGAATAAACATAAGTGTGAAGAGAATGCAATGTTTTTCAGACAATTAATTGCATGCGTGTTACGTGTAGGGCTGCAAATACTAATCAATCAAATGTATTATTGTCGATGATGAAAATAATCGACAACAAATTTGCTTATCGATTAGTCGTGTCTGCCCGCTGTGCTCGGAAAACATCAGCCAGTCACGTTGCTTTACAGTAGTGAATAACCCATTTCTATGGACAAAACGCTTATGCTTGTCATCAAACAGAGTATATTAAATACAAAAAGTATATTAAATGTAATATTGAATACCTACAGTTAAAATAATAATCAAGTACTGATATGTGCTGTAGTACGTTAGTCAACAAATCATAATAAGTGCACTTCTTTAAAGCACAGCAAAAGATAATTAAAACAATGATTTTCAAATGTATTTCAACATTAAACTTTTAATTAAGAAACAGTCATGACAGTGTCTGGCCTTTTATTTCATTGTTATATCATCTGCCAAAATACAGTTTAAAAAAATGGTATTCGAAGTACACTCCAAATGCACATTGAAAAAAGTTAAGGGCGCTTCTTTTTCACAAGGGTAATGAATTTTGTTGTTTGTAGGAGGTTGTGACGGCACCATCAAGCTGTGGGATGTTGTGAAGCAGTACTGCACACACAATCTGAAAGGATCGTCTGGTGTTGTACAGTAAGTACAGTGTTTTGTAATGATCTCTCATTTATCCTTTAATAGACCTTATAATTCCTTTCTGTAATGCTGTAATACTGGCACAGGTTGTTATGCCATGTCTAAAAGCTGTTACGCCTCTCTCTCTCAGTTTGGTTGAGTTTCACCCAGACATCAGCAGGCTGCAGCTCTTCTCTTCCTCTGCGAACTGTGGGATCCGTATCTGGGACCTGCGGAGCAGCAAGTGCATCTGTGTTCTGGAGAGCCACTACAGTGCCGTCACATCGCTGGCCTTCTCTCCTGATGGCCAAACACTCGTCAGGTTGGGGGACGTCACATTTCTTGGGAATCTCATTAAGCATTGTCCTCATAATAGTCCAATTTGAATAAAGTCGCGCTGTCTGCATTTTTAGTTCTGGCCGAGACAAAATCTGTTCGGTGTGGGACCTGAAGGAGAAGGCGGTGAAGAGGACAGTCCCTGTCTATGAGGTCGTGTCCCATTTACCTTTATAGCAGCTCAATTGTTGTCTTTGTAAATAAGCAGGATACTCTGGAAATACGGCCTTGGTGTTTTACATGGATTTCTCTTATTTGTGGATGTTCAGGCTGTGGAAGGTGTTGTTCTTCTCCCTGGGACGAGCGATTACTCCCAGATGGGTGTGAAGAGTGAAGAGTTACACTTTGTCACGGCTGGCAGCAAAGGTAAACTCTACAAATCAAAACGGTTTTATTTAAAACGGATGAAAACCCATAAAAACAACACTGGTTGAAAAATTGGCAAACTTGCACTTTAATCTGCTTTGTTGCATCTAATCGAGATCAAACCCTTTAAAAATATAAGATGAATGAGAAAACGTTGTTTAAAAATACACATTTTGCATTATTTGTAGGCGTTTTTTAGTGCATGCATTAATAAAAAATGTGGCGCTCCTGTGCAATGCAAATATTGAATCCTTGCGTGCGGCTCTGAGTGAGTGTTGTGATGTTCTCCGCAGGCGTTCTTCGAGTGTGGGACTCCAGCTCAGCGCGCTGTGTGTTCACGCAGACTCTGCCTGATGCCCCAGATCTCAGCACAGAGGAGGCCGATTTGGACCCGCGCTGTCTGGTGCACCTCCTGCCCATGCCTCAGTCCAACAGACTGGCCACAGTCACCGCAGAACACAACATCCTCATCTATCAGATGCCCACGCTCACCGTGCAGCAGCAGGTAAACCTCACAGCTCACCTTGCATCAGCATAAGCGTCCGCTGTATCTGGGACGTTGAACCATTCGCCTTGTTTATCTCTTCTTTTGAAGTTCGTGGGCTACAATGATGATATCTTGGATGTGAAGTTCCTGGGGAAGGACGACACGCACATCGTTGTGGCCACTAACAGCTCTCAGCTGAAGGTGTTTGAGTTGGCCACTAACAGCTGTCAGATTCTGTATGGACACACAGGTCAGTGAGC